GTTTGCTTCAGCCATTTGATTAGGCGAGCAGCAGTCTAAGATGGTACCACTTGGTCAGATGGACTGAAGCAGTGCTTGGTTTGCTTCAGCCATTTGATTAGACGAGCAGCAGTCTAAGATGGTACCACTTGGTCAGATGGACTGAAGCAGTGCTTGGTTTGCTTCAGCCATTTGATTAGGCGAGCAGCAGTCTAAGATGGTACCACTTGGTCAGATGGACTGAAGCAGTGCTTGGTTTGCTTCAGCCATTTGATTAGGCGAGCAGCAGTCTAAGATGGTACCACTTGGTCAGATGGACTGAAGCAGTGCTTGGTTTGCTTCAGCCATTTGATTAGGCGAGCAGCAGTCTAAGATGGTACCACTTGGTCAGATGGACTGAAGCAGTGCTTGGTTTGCTTCAGCCATTTGATTAGGCGAGCAGCAGTCTAAGATGGTACCACTTGGTCAGATGGACTGAAGCAGTGCTTGGTTTGCTTCAGCCATTTGATTAGACGAGCAGCAGTCTAAGATGGTACCACTTGGTCAGATGGACTGAAGCAGTGCTTGGTTTGCTTCAGCCATTTGATTAGGCGAGCAGCAGTCTAAGATGGTACCACTTGGTCAGATGGACTGAAGCAGTGCTTGGTTTGCTTCAGCCATTTGATTAGGCGAGCAGCAGTCTAAGATGGTACCACTTGGTCAGATGGACTGAAGCAGTGCTTGGTTTGCTTCAGCCATTTGATTAGACGAGCAGCAGTCTAAGATGGTACCACTTGGTCAGATGGACTGAAGCAGTGCTTGGTTTGCTTCAGCCATTTGATTAGGCGAGCAGCAGTCTAAGATGGTACCACTTGGTCAGATGGACTGAAGCAGTGCTTGGTTTGCTTCAGCCATTTGATTAGGCGAGCAGCAGTCTAAGATGGTACCACTTGGTCAGATGGACTGAAGCAGTGCTTGGTTTGCTTCAGCCATTTGATTAGGCGAGCAGCAGTCTAAGATGGTACCACTTGGTCAGATGGACTGAAGCAGTGCTTGGTTTGCTTCAGCCATTTGATTAGGCGAGCAGCAGTCTAAGATGGTACCACTTGGTCAGATGGACTGAAGCAGTGCTTGGTTTGCTTCAGCCATTTGATTAGACGAGCAGCAGTCTAAGATGGTACCACTTGGTCAGATGGACTGAAGCAGTGCTTGGTTTGCTTCAGCCATTTGATTAGGCGAGCAGCAGTCTAAGATGGTACCACTTGGTCAGATGGACTGAAGCAGTGCTTGGTTTGCTTCAGCCATTTGATTAGACGAGCAGCAGTCTAAGATGGTACCACTTGGTCAGATGGACTGAAGCAGTGCTTGGTTTGCTTCAGCCATTTGATTAGGCGAGCAGCAGTCTAAGATGGTACCACTTGGTCAGATGGACTGAAGCAGTGCTTGGTTTGCTTCAGCCATTTGATTAGGCGAGCAGCAGTCTAAGATGGTACCACTTGGTCAGATGGACTGAAGCAGTGCTTGGTTTGCTTCAGCCATTTGATTAGGCGAGCAGCAGTCTAAGATGGTACCACTTGGTCAGATGGACTGAAGCAGTGCTTGGTTTGCTTCAGCCATTTGATTAGGCGAGCAGCAGTCTAAGATGGTACCACTTGGTCAGATGGACTGAAGCAGTGCTTGGTTTGCTTCAGCCATTTGATTAGACGAGCAGCAGTCTAAGATGGTACCACTTGGTCAGATGGACTGAAGCAGTGCTTGGTTTGCTTCAGCCATTTGATTAGGCGAGCAGCAGTCTAAGATGGTACCACTTGGTCAGATGGACTGAAGCAGTGCTTGGTTTGCTTCAGCCATTTGATTAGGCGAGCAGCAGTCTAAGATGGTACCACTTGGTCAGATGGACTGAAGCAGTGCTTGGTTTGCTTCAGCCATTTGATTAGGCGAGCAGCAGTCTAAGATGGTACCACTTGGTCAGATGGACTGAAGCAGTGCTTGGTTTGCTTCAGCCATTTGATTAGGCGAGCAGCAGTCTAAGATGGTACCACTTGGTCAGATGGACTGAAGCAGTGCTTGGTTTGCTTCAGCCATTTGATTAGACGAGCAGCAGTCTAAGATGGTACCACTTGGTCAGATGGACTGAAGCAGTGCTTGGTTTGCTTCAGCCATTTGATTAGGCGAGCAGCAGTCTAAGATGGTACCACTTGGTCAGATGGACTGAAGCAGTGCTTGGTTTGCTTCAGCCATTTGATTAGGCGAGCAGCAGTCTAAGATGGTACCACTTGGTCAGATGGACTGAAGCAGTGCTTGGTTTGCTTCAGCCATTTGATTAGACGAGCAGCAGTCTAAGATGGTACCACTTGGTCAGATGGACTGAAGCAGTGCTTGGTTTGCTTCAGCCATTTGATTAGGCGAGCAGCAGTCTAAGATGGTACCACTTGGTCAGATGGACTGAAGCAGTGCTTGGTTTGCTTCAGCCATTTGATTAGGCGAGCAGCAGTCTAAGATGGTACCACTTGGTCAGATGGACTGAAGCAGTGCTTGGTTTGCTTCAGCCATTTGATTAGGCGAGCAGCAGTCTAAGATGGTACCACTTGGTCAGATGGACTGAAGCAGTGCTTGGTTTGCTTCAGCCATTTGATTAGGCGAGCAGCAGTCTAAGATGGTACCACTTGGTCAGATGGACTGAAGCAGTGCTTGGTTTGCTTCAGCCATTTGATTAGACGAGCAGCAGTCTAAGATGGTACCACTTGGTCAGATGGACTGAAGCAGTGCTTGGTTTGCTTCAGCCATTTGATTAGGCGAGCAGCAGTCTAAGATGGTACCACTTGGTCAGATGGACTGAAGCAGTGCTTGGTTTGCTTCAGCCATTTGATTAGGCGAGCAGCAGTCTAAGATGGTACCACTTGGTCAGATGGACTGAAGCAGTGCTTGGTTTGCTTCAGCCATTTGATTAGACGAGCAGCAGTCTAAGATGGTACCACTTGGTCAGATGGACTGAAGCAGTGCTTGGTTTGCTTCAGCCATTTGATTAGGCGAGCAGCAGTCTAAGATGGTACCACTTGGTCAGATGGACTGAAGCAGTGCTTGGTTTGCTTCAGCCATTTGATTAGGCGAGCAGCAGTCTAAGATGGTACCACTTGGTCAGATGGACTGAAGCAGTGCTTGGTTTGCTTCAGCCATTTGATTAGGCGAGCAGCAGTCTAAGATGGTACCACTTGGTCAGATGGACTGAAGCAGTGCTTGGTTTGCTTCAGCCATTTGATTAGGCGAGCAGCAGTCTAAGATGGTACCACTTGGTCAGATGGACTGAAGCAGTGCTTGGTTTGCTTCAGCCATTTGATTAGACGAGCAGCAGTCTAAGATGGTACCACTTGGTCAGATGGACTGAAGCAGTGCTTGGTTTGCTTCAGCCATTTGATTAGGCGAGCAGCAGTCTAAGATGGTACCACTTGGTCAGATGGACTGAAGCAGTGCTTGGTTTGCTTCAGCCATTTGATTAGGCGAGCAGCAGTCTAAGATGGTACCACTTGGTCAGATGGACTGAAGCAGTGCTTGGTTTGCTTCAGCCATTTGATTAGGCGAGCAGCAGTCTAAGATGGTACCACTTGGTCAGATGGACTGAAGCAGTGCTTGGTTTGCTTCAGCCATTTGATTAGGCGAGCAGCAGTCTAAGATGGTACCACTTGGTCAGATGGACTGAAGCAGTGCTTGGTTTGCTTCAGCCATTTGATTAGACGAGCAGCAGTCTAAGATGGTACCACTTGGTCAGATGGACTGAAGCAGTGCTTGGTTTGCTTCAGCCATTTGATTAGGCGAGCAGCAGTCTAAGATGGTACCACTTGGTCAGATGGACTGAAGCAGTGCTTGGTTTGCTTCAGCCATTTGATTAGGCGAGCAGCAGTCTAAGATGGTACCACTTGGTCAGATGGACTGAAGCAGTGCTTGGTTTGCTTCAGCCATTTGATTAGACGAGCAGCAGTCTAAGATGGTACCACTTGGTCAGATGGACTGAAGCAGTGCTTGGTTTGCTTCAGCCATTTGATTAGGCGAGCAGCAGTCTAAGATGGTACCACTTGGTCAGATGGACTGAAGCAGTGCTTGGTTTGCTTCAGCCATTTGATTAGGCGAGCAGCAGTCTAAGATGGTACCACTTGGTCAGATGGACTGAAGCAGTGCTTGGTTTGCTTCAGCCATTTGATTAGGCGAGCAGCAGTCTAAGATGGTACCACTTGGTCAGATGGACTGAAGCAGTGCTTGGTTTGCTTCAGCCATTTGATTAGGCGAGCAGCAGTCTAAGATGGTACCACTTGGTCAGATGGACTGAAGCAGTGCTTGGTTTGCTTCAGTCATTTGATTAGACGAGCAGCAGTCTAAGATGGTACCACTTGGTCAGATGGACTGAAGCAGTGCTTGGTTTGCTTCAGCCATTTGATTAGGCGAGCAGCAGTCTAAGATGGTACCACTTGGTCAGATGGACTGAAGCAGTGCTTGGTTTGCTTCAGCCATTTGATTAGGCGAGCAGCAGTCTAAGATGGTACCACTTGGTCAGATGGACTGAAGCAGTGCTTGGTTTGCTTCAGCCATTTGATTAGACGAGCAGCAGTCTAAGATGGTACCACTTGGTCAGATGGACTGAAGCAGTGCTTGGTTTGCTTCAGCCATTTGATTAGGCGAGCAGCAGTCTAAGATGGTACCACTTGGTCAGATGGACTGAAGCAGTGCTTGGTTTGCTCACCGTGCTCACAACCTTTGATTTCCACCTCATGCCATGCCTACTCTGCCGCCCCCTCGCCCACTCTCACGCCTGCCCCTCTCTGAAATGCCCTTCTCTCATGCAGTGCGGTTGGCTGAGACGCGAATGCCCACCTTCCTGTCGCCCTACGGCCTCACATGCCCTCTCATCCTCAACACCTACGGGCTCACAGAGGCTGAATTCTTCCGCCAAAACAAGGTGCGGAGTGCTGCAGTTTGGGGGTCAGCACGTGTCATGTCACATCAGTATCTCACATGCCCGCTCTTTTCTTTCTCAACACGTACGGCCTCACATGCGCGCTCATTCTCAACACTTATGACGGGCTCACAGAGACCGAGTTCTTCCGCCAAACCAATCAGATCCTCCTTGTCTCTTTGTCTCTTCCAACCCAATCCTCCATCTCTCCTTGTACTAACTGCAGAGCTTCCAAACCCATACCTCCTTCCCTCCTGCCTTTATAGTCTTTCTTGTTTGTGAAATAGAGTGTTACTAAATCAAATCCTCCGTCTCTCCTTGATCTAACTGCAGGGTTTCCAGTGCCGAGCGCCCATTCCAGTAGACACTCTGGTCAACATCACCAGCCGTGCTTTCTCCCAGTGCACTGCCATGTACACTGCTAACTATATACGTGATATTGCACTTATGACTTTTGAGAGGTCTAAAAAAACGAGTGCCCATCCCTGTAGACACTCTGGTCAACGTCACCAGCCGGGCTTTCTCCCAATGCACTGCCATGTACACTGCTAACTATGTACGTGCCATTGTGTTTAAGTAATTTCCAATGCGTTTATGTTAGCGCCAGTGCGTTTATGTAAGCGCCTTTGAGCCTAACCTCAGAACTTACCACAATATTCACTGCTCACTCTGAATCTCCGCCTGTGTTTGCATTTCCCACTCACTTCATCTGCCCACTCCTTTCACACCTCCCCCCTCCCCTCACTCCATGTGTGCTGGCAGGGTGACTCGTACGACGACTCTTCCCGCAATGCCCTCCTCTCTCTTTCCCTGCCACTCACTCACCTCTTTCCCTGCTACTCACTCACCTCTTTCCCTGCCACTCACTCACCTCTTTCCCTGCGAGTGCGGGCCTTCCCTTCCCACCACTTGCCTCAAGACCCCTACTCCCTGCATCTTCCTGCCCCTGTCCTCGGTCCCTGCAGGGAGTTTTTGAGAATTCTCAAAAACTCCCTTTTTTTAGAATTCTCTACTACTTTTTTTTTTTTAGAATTCTCAAAAACTCCCTTCCCACCACTTGCCTCAAGACCCCCACTCCCTCCATCTTCCTGCCCCCATCTGTGTGTGCAGGGTGGTACGTGTGACTCCATCAACCCCCTATTTTCCACTCAATTCCATCCGCTCAACTCGATTCTCTCAAAAACCACGCTTTTGCCTCCTATACCCGACATCTGTGCGTGCCGGCAGGGTGACACGTTTGACTCATTCAACACCCTCTTCTCCACTCTCCTCTCGCGGTTTTTTAACCCCCCATTCTCTTTGTCTCCCCTCCTCCCCATGTGCCGGCAGGGTGACACGTGTGACTCACTCAACGCCCTCTTCTCCACGCAGATACAGCTGCTCAACCCCGCCCTCACCTGCTCCGACAGGCCCAGGCCCGGCCAGGTGAGCTTCGGTGCAGGTGGGTGCAGATGGGTGGGTGCAGGTGGGTGGGTGCAGATGGGTGGGTGCAGGTGGGTGGGTGCAGGTGGGTGCAGGTGGGTGGGTGCAGGTGGGTGCAGATGGGTGGGTGCAGGTGGGTGGGTGCAGATGGGTGGGTGCAGGTGGGTGGGTGCAGGTGGGTGCAGGTGGGTGGGTGCAGGTGGGTGCAAGTGGGTTTAGGTGAGTGCACGTGAGTGTGGGTGCAGGTGCAGGTGAGTGCTTGTGGTTGCAGGTATGTGTTGGTGGGTCTTGGGGGGTGGAGGTGGGTGTTGGTGAGCGTAGGTGGGTTGAGGGGGGTGTAGGTGGGTGGAGGTGAGTGTAGCTGGGTGCAAGAGACTGCAGGTGCGCGCTGCATGTTGGTAACTGAAGCTGCTGCAATGACAGATCATCAGGGTAGCCCCTCTCTTTACAGGGGTTTAGAATCTGAATGCTCGCTCTTAAAGCTGTTTCCCGCTAGTGTTGCTAAGGGTGTGAATGCCCGCTTTTTCAATCTGCTCGTGTGGCTATCCCTGCTGCTTGAGACATGATTGGTTGGTCATTAATGCCCTTGATTGGCTCTACTGCTCATGAAAGCTCTCTCATATCGTATCACACATTTTGTTCTCCAAACTCGATCTCCCCCGCCTCTCCCCGCTCTCCCCCCTCTCCCCCCTCTCCCCCGTTCTCCCCCCTCCCTCCTTCCCAGCTACTCTGTGTGGACTTCAACCAGACGTGGCTAGAGGAGGGAAAAACCCGCATATCATGCAAAATCCAAGCCCAGATCACCCCAGCCACAGCCCCACGAAGCCCTCAACCATCCTCTCCACTAGTTGACTACATGAGCAAGGCCGTGCTGGTAACTGTGCTACAGGGCCCGCAGACCTGCCAGCAGCTGTGGCGGGCGTTTGGCATCGCCTCCCCCACGCGCTTCTTCCACAAGATCCGTCGCCCGGCTATCCGTCGCCCGGGATACTTCGCCACAAGATCCGAACTCGGTATAAGCTCAGACCTCGGTATAATCTCGGAATCAGGCCCAAACGGTTACAGTACACTCTCGGAATTAGGCCCAGGCGGCCCAAATTCAACCACCAGCACGCACGCAGCGGCGAATGGGAAACAAAACCCATTCGGTACAGTCACATCCGCAGGCGCTGCTGCAGCTGTGGCTGCGTTACAAGCACGCAAGCACTGGGTGAGCAGGCTACAGGAAGGGTTACCCCAGGCGGCGGTGGTGGTGCTGCGGGTGCTGGTGGTGGTGGCGGCTGCTTGGAGCGCGTGTGCTGTCATGTTCTTTTCCCTCGTTATAATGCCCTGGGTTATGCTCCACCTCTCCACCGCCTCCCACCCGCACTTCCGCGCCCTTCGCTTCAATCACACCTCCGTTGAGGCACTTTCGGCTGCTGCGGGGGAGAAGGGACAAGGAGGCGGAGGAGGAGGAGGAGGAGGGAAAGTAGGAGGGATTGTGGGGGGAAATGGGTGGGGAGTGAGAAAGGGGGAGGTGTGGAGGCCGAGGAGGGGGGAGGGGGTGTGTGAGCTGGGGAGAGGGGATTGGCAGATGGAGAGGGAGGGATATCCGCTGTACGCAGCAGAAGACTGTCCCTTCATTAGTGGCACATTCAACTGCCTGGTGAGGAGGGAGGGTGAGTGAGCTTTGAGCAGAATCAAAAGGGTGTATTCTATCCGTTTTTAGCAGCAGAAGCGTGTATGTTCCTTAGTGTATGTATCCGTTTGTAACTGTCTGGTGATGAGAGAGAGTGAGCCTTGAGTTGATTCAAGATGGTATCGATTTTGTTATATGAAGCAGGAGACCGTTCCTTCGTTAGTGGATCATTAAATTCCTGTGAGGGTAGCTTTGCAGTGACTTTGACTATCTCCAATTCGCCTGGCGAGAGAGCGAGTGCATCCCTCCGTCGTTAGTTAGTTGCTTTCTTCCTCATCTCTCTTCCTTCCCCCCATCCCAACCACTCCCCCCCTCCTCCCCCCCTCCCCCCCTCCCTCCCATCTCTCCCCCTCCGTTGCCCCCTCCCCCCATCCCCCAGGAGAATGGCCGCACGGATTTTGACTACCTTCACTTTGCATGGCGAGAGAGCGAGTGCGCCCACCCATTCACTCGCTTCCGCGCGGATCGCTTCTTCGAGGCCTTCCAGAACCGTCGGATCGTGTTCGTGGGCGACTCTACATTGTTGTCGGTACGGTCCGATTAAAAGATCTCATGACGCCCCTCAATAGTCGTTTTTGTGGGTGTAATCTCTGTCCCTGGCTTCCTTCCTCCCCCTCCCCTCATCCCACACCCACATTATTTCGCTCCATCCATCCATCTATCCATCCAGCTCGTTCTTTTGACCTCTGCCCGTCACCGCTCATCCTTAACCACCATAAGATCTCTCCCTGCCCCTCTCCACTCCCCTCTCCTTTTGCCCCTCTCCCTCAATCCCTTGCTTGCAGATGTTCTAGTCGCTGCTCTGCCTGCTCTCTGTGGGTCCCTCCCTCCCACCCGATCACAGTATGTGCTGCTTCCCCTCTTGCCCTTTCCGTCTCCCCCCTCGTCCCTCTCCTCTCGTCCCCCCTCTCCGCCCTCCTCCCTTACAGATGTTCCAGTCGCTGCTCTGCCTGCTCTCTGTGGGTCCCTCCCTCCCACCCGATCACAGTATGCCAACAGAGCGACTCAACCGCACCTTCCCCTCCCTCCTCCACCCCCCGTCCTCGTCTCCCTCCGTTCTATCCTCATCCTCCACCTCTTCATCCCCCTCCTCCTCTTCCTCCTCCTCAATTGCTTCCCCTGTAGGCTCCAAACCCCCCACTCCCTCTCCCCTAATCTTCCAATACACATTCCCCCACGCCAACACAAGCCTTGACTTTTTCCACTCTGACTTTCTAACCGTCCTGGAAACAGCCCCTTCACCTGAGCAATCAGATGCACCTGCCCCAGACACACCTGCCGCAGATATGCCTGTTCCAGATACGCCTAATCCTTTATTGACCAAGAATTTGTCTGAGGGCACCAATAACAGCAGTATTACTGCCACCAATATCTTTGCTAGCTTTAGTAACAGTAGCAACACAGGCATTGGCAGAAGCCTTCTTACAGATACTTCTGAAACCAGCCAGGAGCCAGGCTTGAATGGGTTGAATGCGGTGGAACCGGGTTCGGACAGGTCTGGTGCGCTAAGGTCAGGTTCGAAGGGGTTGGGAGCAGTGAGAGTGGTGCGGTTGGATGCATGGGCAGCATATGTGGTGGCAGCACAGCCGCATGTGCTGGTGATTCACACGGGAGGGGCGTGGGTGGGGCTGCAGCGGCGGTGGCAGGAGCATAGGGCGCGTTTACATGCTTCTCAGGAGGGGAAGAAGGGGCATGAGAGGCAGGAGGAGGGGCAGAAGGGGCAGGAGAGGCAGAAGGGGCAGGAGGGGCAGGAGGGGCAGAGTGCAGTGAATAAATCAAGGGTTTCTGCTGCTGTGGCTGGTCAAGGAGTTGAGGGAGGGGTGAAGGGAGGGATGCGTGCGGGGAAAGTGGAAGCAGGAGGCAAGGTGGAGGCTGGTGGGGGAAAGGGGGACATTGGTGGGGGAAAGGGGAAGGCTGGTGGGGGAAACGGAGAGGCTGGTGGGGGAACTGGGGGGAATGGTGGGGGGAATAAGGGGAAGGGTGAAAACACGAAGGGGAAGGGTGGGTTGGATAAGGGGAAGGGTGGGGGAAATAAAGGGAATGGTGGGGAGAAAATGGGGACTGTTGGGGAGAATAAGGGGAATGGTGGGGAGAAGGGGAATGGTGGGGAGAAAAAGGGGAATGGTGGGGAGAAGAAGGGGAATGGTGGAGGGAAGAAGGGAAACAGTGGGGGAAATGGAGTCAATGGTCGGAACAACAAAGGCAGCAGTGGTGGCGATCAGGGAAATGTGGGGAAGAATCAGGGCAAGGGTGGGGGGAGCAAAGAAGTCAGTCAGGGAAACAAAGGGAATGGTGGGGGGAAGAAGGGGAACAGTGAGGGGAATAGCAAAATCAGTGCGGGAAACATAGGAAATGCTGGGATGCCATTGGGAGGCAATAGTAAAGGTGGGCAGCAAGGGGGAGGGACAGGAAGGCATGCAGGCAGTGAGACGAAGAAAGAAAGGGGAAAAGGAGAGAGCAGTGTCGATAAGACGAAGGAGCAACGAAAAGCTGTAGCAGCGGTGCCAAAGACGGGTGCACGAGGTGGAGAAGGGGTGAAGGGCGAACGATTGAGGAAGGATGCAGGACAGAAAGGAATCAAGGAAGGTGAGAGAAGGCGATGGGGAAAGCAGGAGTCTGGGTCTGGGGGCCAAGGAAAGCAAGGCAAGGGGCAAAAATGGAAAGGGAAGGGGCAAGGGAAGCAAGGAGAGGGGAAACGGCAGAAGGCCGGAAAAAAAGTGGAGGAGGGGGTGATGAAACAGGGTGGTGATAACGGTGGCCAGACAACAAGTGGAGGGGACACCAACAGTGGTTTTCAGCCTGATACGTTTGCAGGAGGGGAGCTGCGAATGGGTGATTTTGGTGATGACACCATTCTGCAGAGTGACAGTATCGAGAGTGACAACAGCAGCAGCAGCAGAAGCAGCAGCAGCAGCAGCAGCAGCAGTACCAGTGGCAGCAGCGTTTCAAATGACAGCAACAACACCACCAGAAACGGTTTCACTACCAGCAGTTTTGGTAACAGCAGTGTCCAGAGCACCAGCACATGGAGCCATGGTAATTTCAGCATCGTTCCTACTAGCGTTGCCAGGATGGGTGCCAGGGACAGCCGCAAGGAGGGGAGGAAGGGGGGGGAGAGGAGTAGGAGAGGGAGGGGGAGGATCGGCAAGTGGCTGTGGCGGCAGCGGCACCTGCTGAGCCTCCCAGAAAGCACAGAAAGTGCCCCAAGGGAAGACGCTGAAAGTGATTCCTTTCATCCCCGCTCTCCTCTGGTTCCCATGCATTTTGAGCATCAAATGGCTGTTGATAGAAAGAGCCTCTATAAGGGAGATGGTGAAGGCCGCTCTTTCCGCTCTCAGGCGCCCCTGCTTCTGACACGCGTTGACTCCCATGTGGAGGCAGACCAGATGGCGATGCTTGATGGCACGGACGGTTCAGATGAGGCAGAGGGGACCCTTCGTAGCACGAACGGTTCAGATGAAGTGCATGGGGGTTTAGGGAAGCCAGTGGGTGGATTGATAGTGGAGGGGGGTGATGTGAGAATAGAGGGGGCGGAGCAGCAGCAGCAGGGTGGTAGTTCTATGTCGGATGCACCTAGCATGGTCCAAGAAGAGGTGCCTGTAGAAGACTCTTCATTCAGTCAAGGCAGCTCCCTTGATGGGGATAGAGTGGTGGAAAAGGATGAAGTGCGGCAGCAGGGTGGTAGTTCTATGTCGGATGCACCTAGCATGGTCCAAGAGGAGGCGTCTGCAGGCGGGTTTTCTGTTGGTCGAGTTGATATTTTTGAGGGGGGAGACGCAGTGGAAGCGGAAGGAGGGGCGCAGCAGGAGCAGAGTTTTGAGGCGACTCGAAAAGCAGTGGAAGCGGATGAAGTGTCTGGGCGGGAGCACAGTTTTATCGCTGTCTCACGTGCAGAGAATGATGAGGAGGTTCGCGAGGGGGATGTGAGTAAGGAGACTGTTAATAAGGAGGATAATCTGCCGGGATCGGTTGATAGTGTGATTCCACCTAACCTGCTTGACTCGGTTGACTTTCTTGACCCGGTATCAGCATTCACCAAGACCCTCCGCATGCTGCACCATTTCCTCTCCTCCCAACCCACCGCCGAATCCCTCCCAACTTTCTTCCTCGGGCTGCCCCGAGAACATTATTTCCGGGCAGGCCAGGACAACCATTCCTCGCTCTGCCTGCCAGACGACGCCACATGTAAAGAAAGCGGGCAGGGTAATGGGAATCTGAGGCCGAGAGAGTGGTTGGAGGAGGGAGGGGAGGAGCAGGCGCATCAGCAGCGGTGGCAGCGGTGGCGTTGGCGGCAGCAGAGGGAGCGGAGGGAGAGAGGGAGAGAATGGGTGCAGTCGAGTGTGGGGCAGATGGAAAGGGTGATTGAGAGGGAGATTGGGATTGGGAACAGGCTTGTGCTGTTGCGGGCAGGAGGGATAACTGATGCTCGTGTTGATGCTCATGTGGGCTTTTCGCTCCCTGCTGAAATGGGTGGGGGAAAGACAGGAAAGGAGGGTTGCAGTCACTTTTGTGTGCCTGGAGTGCCGGATACTTGGAATGAGATGCTGGTTGCTGCCCTACGGCTACAGGAAATGATCACATAACAAATATCTATATTGTATAGTGGCATTATGGCAAGTACAATGCATTGTGCCAAATTTGTCCACATGGTGAATCTGTTACTGGCTTAATCGTTTACTGTATATATCTGTTTGATTGCAAAGGCTTGGCAAAAGGAGGAGAGAGTGCAGGCAATACAAGCTGTGCAAGGCTCTTCAAAAGCTGAATTGTTGGTGCAATCTTTGTTTGGATTCAATGTGTCAGCCGACTCCATTTTCGAAGCTTCTAATAGCGAATATACCACTAGTCACACTCTCCAGCAACCTTTCCCGCCAAAACCGCCATGGCTGTCCGTACGTTGCGCTAGCGCGAGCCGCTTGTATCAGCATGCGGGCCTTGCCCTTCTTTCGACGGGGCCGCGCGACACCTGCTTCTCGCGTCGCGCCTAGTATTTTTGCTTCGCTTTGAGGTATCGACGTAGCGCTAGTTGCGTAATCGTTTTCTGTACTCTAAAAAATATCATTGCTCGTAACAGTCACGCGCCTGTATTACCGTTGCTGACCGGAACGAGCTTCCGCCTTCAACAGGCACTGCGCTAAGAGACCACTTACCTTTCATTTCGCAACATTTCGTGCAAATCGTAACTACGAGGGACTACTAGCGAATTTGCGCGATTACTATCTTCCACCGTACCCTTACGGCCGAGTACTAGCCTTCCTAAGATTCCTCCGATGCTTATTGGTACCGACTTGGTGCCTGCGTTCCTAAGTGCGTCTTAGTTTCGTGGTTCGTTTTCAGGCCGGCGAAAGCAACCGAACCGGCGAGTAGGATCGTTAACCGGAAACAGCCGAAACTGCTGTCGTGACTCGTGAAACATCTTTGAGTTTGGTTTCTTAGTTTTTTCTTTTGTCCTCTACTCTCGAAGCCCTCCAAGTCGCCGAGCCTCTTAGTCTCCAAGTCCCGTATTCTCCGAGCCTCCGAGTCTCCGAGCCTCTGAGTGTGAGGCTCGGCTCCGAATGGGTCGGTCGAGGGGAGCCGGGGAGGAGGACCACGCCCCTAGCGGGGGTTCCAGGTGAGTGGTGGAGAGTGGAGCGGGGTGACAGTGCTCGTGCTAGTAACGGGTGAGCTAATAGAGGATTAGAAGGGAGGAGGACCATGCCCCAAGCACCTCAACCGTTAGTAGGGGTTCCAGGTGAGGGGTGATTTGTGTGCTTGTGCCAGTAACGGTTGAGGTACTTGGGAAAATAAAAAGGGATCACGCCCTTTTTGGGGGTTCCAAGTGAGTAATTTTGTACGTATCTTAGTGTTGCTGGTGCTACTAACGGGTGAGTTATTAGGGGAGCCATGGAGAAAGTGGGGTTCCGGGTGAGCAGTGGAGGGTGCTGGTAACGCACGTGCTACTAACAGGGGTGTTTCTAATGGATTCGCAGGGAGGAGGACCACACCCCTAGTGGGGGTTCCAGGTGAGGTGAGGGTACTGTGTGCTCTGTGTTGCGTGCTGCTGGTGAATCTGTTTTTTGAGAATTCTCAAAAAACAGATTCGCAGGGAGTAGGACCACGCCCGCCCCTAGTGGGTGAGGGTACTGTGTGCTCTGTGTTGCGTGCTGCTGGTGCTAGCTAGTAACCTTCACGTTTCCATTTCTTACCCTTCAATCTTCTTAGCTTGAAATCACCTAAGCATTTACTTACCCTGCTCAGTCAGGTTATCCGTTTCCTTTTATTCCTAGCTTGCACCATTTTCCACCACCCTCCTCTTCTTCCCTTTGTCCCCTATCATCCCTTCCCCATCCCCCTCCCCCTCCCCGTCCCCGTCCCCCTCCCCCTCCCCTCCCCTCCCCCTCCCCCTCCCCCTCCCCCTCCCCCTCCCTCTCCCCTTCCTCTCTCCCCAATCCAAGCTGGCAGGACGCTGTGGGGGGAAGGAGAGAACTGGGGAAGGCGCAGCTTTCCCCTTCAACCCTTCATCCCCCTTACCTCGTCCTTTTCCTCCCAAATCCCCCCCTTCCCCTCCCCTTCCCCTTTCCCGTCCCCCTCCTCCTCCCCTTCCCCCAGGCCCAAGCGCCACCGCTATGCCACCACAAGCTGGCAGGACGCCATGGGCGGGGGGAGCAGCGGAGGAGATTTCCCCCTTTCGTGCCCCCTTTCCTTCCGAAATCCCCCCTTCCCTCCCCTTCCCCTTCCCCCAGACCCAAGCGCCGCCGTTATGCCACCACAAGCTGGCAGGACGCAGTGGGGGGAGGCGCAGGGGCGGGGGGGGAAGGCACGGGCGCAGTAGCAGGGGGAGGCGGGGGGGGACCCGGGGGCGGATCCGGGGGAGCGGGGGGAACAGGGGGGGGAGCGCGGAAGGGGGTGTATCACTGCAACTACTGCCACAGGGACGTGACGGGGGAGGTGCGAGTGAAGTGTGCGGCGTGTGTGGACTTTGACCTCTGCGCTGAATGCTTCTCCGTGGGCGCCGCTG